TTTTTTTTTTTTTGGTACCGGGGATCGAACTCGGGTCCTTCCACTTGCCAGGCAGGTGGTGAAAGCACTGAGCTAAATCCCAGGCCCTAAATGGTGTTTTTTAAAAAGCAGAATGCCATATACAAATATATCTTGAAAAATTAAACACATATATATTTGCTTAAATGAGAAAACGTCTTAAGAATAGATACCAAAATGATGTCCCTGAGAAATTGGATTTTTCACTCTTTACTTACCTGATTAACCTTATTCTTAAAAACAATGAAGATGTGTTTTTATACTTAAAACATAAATATGTAATAAATAAATAAATATGTAATTTTAGAGGAAATTAAACCAATCTTCAAGTATCAGGAAAACAAAGCTAAAATGGTAGAATTAAAATTAGATCTAGGGCTGGGGCTAGTTCAGTGATAGAGAGCGTGCTCAGCATGCAGGAGGCCCTGTATTCAATCCCCAGCACTGCAAAATAAATAAGATCCAACCAAAGCAGAATAAACTAATGCAGTCTATTTTGACTGTTTATGAAGCAAAACAATTTTCTCTTTTCACACCAGAAAACCTCCCCACCACCGCATGTGTACTGTTCTTAACCTGAATCCTCACACAGCTTCTGGCTTCCTCGGTGACCCTGCTTCCACTTCTGAGAGGCCTCCTAACCCGTTCCTCCCACGGTGCCCTGTGGAACCCTGCTTCAATGCATACATACATACCCCTGCATGCTCATGCTGCTCCACAAAATTCCCTCCTCATCCTGATTACGGTCACAGCTGCCAGGCTTCCTGCTTCCTACTCCTATTCTGGACCTTACAGACCTAACTTTCTAAACCTTCTCTTAGGTTTCTACTCTCCTTTTTATAAAACCTGATCTTTCAGTCAGCAAAACTGCATCTTCGGTTACCCCTTGTCACTTATATACACACTTTGCAGTCAATCACTGGCTCCCATTTGCTGACTGTCACCTGGCTAAATCATATTCATCTATTCAATGTCTGTCAAAGATAATCCATTTAAAAACCAAATCAGGGCCGGGGATTTAGCTCAGTGGTTCCGGCACCTGCCTGGCAAGTGCAAGGTCCTGTGTTCGATCCCCGATACCAGGAAAAAAAATAATAAAAAAATAAAAATAAAAAAATAAAAACCAAATCAAAGCTGGGCATGGTGATGCACTCTGGGAGGCAGAGGCAGGAAGATCACAAATTTGAGCCTAGCCTGGGCAACTTAGCAAGACTCTGTCTCAAAATTAAAAGTTTAAAAACAGGTCCATAGATGTAGTTCAGTTCAAAGGGCCTAGGTTCAATCCCTAGTACAAAAATAAAAAAAGCTTGGTAATAGGAAAAAAATCTGAAAGGATAATAAGCCAGAAATACTTAAAATGGTTATCATATGGACTATGGTTAGAATGCAGCAGTACAGGGCACTTGCCTAGCTTGTGGGAGGCCCTTACTTTGATACCAAACACTGTAAAAAAAAAAAAAAGTTATCTTGGTATGGTTGAGTATCAGGTAGCTTTTATTTCTCCTTATCTGCAATGAAAGTATATTATTGCTTTTTTAAAAGCCTATACACAATCTAAAAAAGTCCCAATTCCAATGGCACTTCCTAGTCCCTCCTTCCTTGAGCCCTTCTGTGGCATGGCTTACACCCTTGGCTCACAGCTCACTCTCAGCCCCATGACCTTGTTCTGATTTTCTTCCTAATCTTAGGCTACTCATTTCTCAGTCTCCTTCATGGGCTCATTTTTCTTGAACTACCCTTTAAACAGTGTTGTCACCTTGGATTCTGTCCTTGCCCCTTTTCTCATAGAAACATTAATTCTCATATAAACAATTAAGGGAATATTAAGACCTATTTTCATCAATACCTTGATAATCTGTAATGCTGAATCAATTTACCTAGCATATACTTTTTCCAGGGGCCCTATTCAGGGACAATCCCATTTTGGGATCTCAAAATCAACACATCTAAATAGAACCCTAATTCTGTCCTCCTCTAGTTTTTTAAATTTTATATTCTTCATTTTATCAAGAGACATTCTAGATGCCTCTTCAGTCCCATTTGTCTATCAACCTACCTTTCAGTCCTACTGATTCTACCACCTTAAATGTTCACTTATCTAAGACAGCAAAGTATGCACAAGATGAAATTAACATCAAAAATTTTACTAGTTTCCATTAATAAAAAAGTATGTAATGTTGGCTAGTTGTGATGGTGTATACCTGTAGTCCCAGGTACTCAGGAGGCTGAGACAGGAGGATCACTAGAGCCCAGGACCTCAAAATCTGAGTGATATACCAAGACCTCATCTCAAAAAAAGAAAAGAACTGCCTGGTATAGTGATGCATATCTGTAACCCCAGCAGCCATCAGGAGGCGGAGGCAGGATGATATTGAAAGTTCAAAGCCAGCCTTGGCTACACAGCAATAAGTTGTCTCTAAAAAATTTTTTTAAAACTATTAATTTTGGAAAGGTAGACCATAAGAGGGTTTAATCTAAAATTTTGGGAAAAATATATTTTATGCCAGACACAGTGGTGCACACCTGTAATTTCAGCTACTTGGGAAGTTAAGGCAGGAAGATCCCAAGTTCCAAGACAGCCTGGGAAACTCAAGGAAGCAATGTCATCAAACTTGGGACCTCGCACTTATAAGACTGGCGCTGGAACCACTGAGCTAAATCCCCCACCCTCTTCTTTTTTTTTTTTTTTTTTTTGGTACCGGGGATCAAACTCAAGACCTTGCACTTTCAAGGCAGGGCACCACTGAGCTACATCCCCGGCCCTCAGGGGATGTAGCTCAGTGGTAGAGGGGCCCTGCATTCAATCTCCAATACCACAAAACAAGTGTGTATGTGTCTGTGTGTGTGTGTCAATATATTAAAATGAGTAAGAAACAGAGATGTGATCAAAACTATGGTGAATGCAGCTACCAACAGAAAGGCATGGATCTTCACACAAGGGGTGTGTTGAAATAAAATACAAGGGGTGGGACGGGGAATTTAGCTCAGTGGTTCCGGGGCCTGCCTTGCAAACACAAGGTCCCAAGTTTGATCCCCGGTACCAAAAAAAAAAAAAAAATAGTTAAGATGACCCAGTTCAGATTTAATTACTTTTTCAAAAGAAAAGCTGAAGAGGGGCCAGGGATTTAGCTCAGTGGTGATGCCACCTGCCTCCCAAGCACAAGGTCCCGAGTTCAATCCCCAATACCAAAAAAAAAAAAAAAAAAGGCTGAAGAAAACTGGTAATATTTTGCATTAAATAATTATGATTCAGCTTTAAGAGTACTTTGAAGATGAAACTATTCTACCTACCTGGTTCATCTTTGACTCACAAAAATCTATTTTAAAAAGCCTAAAAGCACAAGCTCCAACAAAATCAGGCTTCTTGTATATAAAATATTCTTATCAACTACTCATTCCTTTCTTGCTCCTGACTGGCAATCTTATGTCATGCCTTAACTAAATAAGTCCAACAGCCTGTCTACTGCTTTCAAAGGCACTAACCTTCTCAAAAACACTGGATGGGGTCATCAAACAAAACCTGATGTTCTGAATGATGGTATCGGTATGTCTCCAGCGTCTTCTGTCATGCCGCAGCCAAGACTGCACAGCCTCGTACAGCTCTATCTCTGGGAACCTGCTCAGATGATCATTATCCAAATAAGACATGAGCTTCTCAAAGCTCAGATAGGACAAGAAGTCAGGCCTGGACATGAGTGGCACAAAGTTGTCTAGGAGAAAGGCATCCAGCTTCTCCCTGACTCCCTCGATGTTTACACCAAAATCATCTAAGAGTCTCATAATTTCTGCACAATTTTCTAAGCAGATTTTCGCTAATAGAAAAGAGCAGCAGAACTTCACCACTTCTATAAGTTGAACATACATGGCAGCCTGAAGAATCTCATGAACAGTATTCATACTCAGTTCTATAGTTCCATAGTACATAAATTGAAGGACATGGCTGAAGCCAGTAGCAGTTAGACCTTTTAAATGAATTTTGTCCTGATCTCGTTCTCTCATGTCTGCAGTAAACATAATTCTGAAGTAATCACTCTGGGTGGCCAAAAGTGCTTTATGGGCCTGGAACTGATGATCTTCAATAACCAGAGTGACATCAAGAAGCAATCCCTCTTCATACAGTGCTCTGAACCCAGCAGAGACACTGGTGTCATGGATGGAGGAACAGAATCCTTCCACGTCCCCTGCCATGAATCACCTGAAAAAAAGCAACCAAAGAAAATGGTGTTAATCATTTCCACCCATTCAGAAGACAACACTGACTAAAGAGTTTTAACAATTTTTATAATTATCCCAATTCCACTGCCCAAGTAAGTCCTAAATGCACAAAACCCTTGGAAGAAGGCAACCTTGATGTTTTCAGACTAATGTTTTTGGCTTCCGTAACTGGGGTAAAGAATCTATTAAATATATTATTTATCAAACACTGGTGGTAAATTGCTAACTTACAAACAATACATGCCTACCCCATTGTCTTTACAGTGTTTGCTGTGTATAAACATATTTCAAAATTAGCAACACAAAAAGGATTTCACAGCCAAATATTAGGAGAAAAAAAGAAAAATAAAACAGAAATTACACCAGAACGTACATCTGAAAACTAGAAATAATAATAATCAGATAAATATGCCAATTTGTACATACAAAGTTTTCTAGTTTTTCTTTTTCTGCAGGGGGCAGGGTTGAGACAGGGTCTGGCTACATAGTTCAGGCTGGCCTTGAACTCACTATGTAGCCCAGACTGTCCTGGAATTCAGGCAATCCTCCTGCCTCCCCCTCCCTAGAAGTGGGATTACAGCTGTGCACCACCATGCCTGGCTAAGGTTTTTCTTTTTTGTTGTTTTGTTTTTGTTTTTTTGAGACAGGGTCTCACTGTGTAGTTCAGGCGATCCTCAAACTCAGTGATCCTCCTGTCTCAGCCTCCTGAGTGCTGGGATCATAGGCATGTAGCACTACACATAGCTATTCTAGCCTTATTAATAAAAACTTAGAAAGTAGCCAGGCACAGTGGTATACACCTGCAGCCCCAGCTACTCAGGAGCCTGAAGCAGATGACAGTTGGAGCCCAGGAGCTCAGGGACCGTCTGGGGGGAAAAAAATGTTCAAAAATCCAACAACAGGGCTGGAGGTGTAGCTCAGTGGTAAAGCACTTGGCCTGGCATGCATGAGGCCCTGGGTTCTATCCTCAGTATCACACAAAAAAAGAAAATCCAACAATAGATTATTAAATAAATATGGTGCAGTTCTATGATGAATTACCGTAATTAAAAATGATAGCAGTAATCTACCTATTCTAATATCCAAAGGATATTTATTAAATGGTGTTTTTTTTTTTTTTTTGGTACCGGGGATCGAACTCGGGTCCTTCCACTTGCCAGGCAGGTGGTGAAAGCACTGAGCTAAATCCCAGGCCCTAAAT